CTAGATTTTGGTTTGGAAAACAGGGTCACTAAATTTGTAGACTAACTTGAAACAGTATTGACCTTTGGCAATACGTATCAATTCTATTTCTTGGCCATGATTAAGTAAAATAAAACCAAAGTTCACTATATGAATTTACCTAACTTAAAATTTTGTTTTTACCTATTCATTTTAAAATAATTTAAGAACGCTGTAGTAATTTACAATGTAAAAAGCATTCCTAATATGGTGTTTTATAGACACAAACACATACATAGCTACCACACTTATAGAGAGCTACTCACCCTTGCCATATAGAAAATGCAAAACAACACACTTAAGAGATATTTTAATTATATATTATGTGGCCAAAACTAAAGAAGATAAAAATATGCCTGTGCTAATGAAAAAGGATTTGGTGGTCTTTCCAATTTTTAATTTTTAATTTAAATTCCACAGACTGAAACCCATATATTTTTTTCTCTCTCTTGTTTTATTGTCTGGAGGCAAGTGTCACGGAACTCATATTCTTGATGAAGAGAAACTGAGAGGACACACTGGCATTTGCTATGCATGTGACGATAATTATCTGAGTGAACTAAGATTGACTCATTTTCCTATGCCAAAATTGCTATTTTGCAAATAAAATTACTATCCTCTATAACATTACTTCGTTTGCTTATTGCTCTACTCTTTATTCTTTCGTGTTTCAGGTAACCAATAAGAGAAAAAGTTTAAAAGTCCACTACGTCCAGAATGGCACTCAATAACTGAAAATTGAGGTAATTTTTCCGAAGTCCTTGTTGGAAATACATCTACCAGTAGTGTGATCAGGCTTTCCCTCCCACATTTCCCTGCTAGTTAGGACAGGAGAAGCCCGGGGGTGCTGCTGCAACAGCGGTGGGAGTGGGAGATAGGATATTACCCGCTTGACACTTCTGCACTTCTGCTACGAATGATTCACTCCGGTTTGGCACATTTGTTGCAAGGAAATCTCCTCCCGCCGCTTCCTTGTTCGAGCTCCTCTCGGGCTGTCTCCTGTGCTTTGGCCTTTAAGGAGAAGCGAGAGCAGGTGGGCACACAGGAGCTCGCCGAGTCCTCCTCCCCCTGCTCCTTCCCTAATTTAGCAGTACTTCCGGCCGCGTGACATCATCCCCCGCACCCCGGTGACGTGAGCAGCGGGTGACGTGTGTGCGGAGAGGAGCGCGCTGACGTTGCTATTTAAAGGTCCTCCTGCGGGGAGGATGGAGACACAGCGCGAGCACCTGGTGTGGGGCGCGGAGGAGGCTGTGGCGGCCGGGAGCGGGGCCAAGAGCCAGCG